ACAGAGCTAAAATACGAAAACAGAGTAACATATGGGTTATTCACTATATTTTTTATTAATCTTTGAAGCTGTAATCATTTTAATATATTTATACTTAAAGAAAAAAATACTAAAATTAACATTAAAAGAATTCAGAAGAATTCATATTCTAACAGGGGAAGAGTTACGCCCTTGACGTCATTACCCCATTCACACCAATGTAATTGAGCTTGCAAGCCTTGTATCCGCTGGACTGAAATCCAATTTAATGTAAACACAATCCAGCAATTGTAACATTTGACAATTGTACGGTCATAATCAACGGCTTATCATACAATGATACTGTAATGGAGTTTAAACAAAGGACAGAACTGACCATAGAGTCGTTCAAACAAATGAACATAAACAACACGTTCGAAGATATAAATTTGCAAAAACTCCATCTAGCCGAAACGACCGAATCTACTACAATATCTGCAGTATGCATCTTAACACTCAAAAGAAGAAACATCATCTTCACCCCGGCGGATCCTCCACCGATGTGCGTTCCGGCCATTCCATCGATTAGGCCATCCCTTCATTGCAGGGGAGGAGCAGTTACCGAATATACCATACAGGGTATATATGGTTCGGTTCCAGACGCCAAGCCGCCGAGAAACGGCGGCGGCAGCACAGCATTGTGACACTATGTTGCAATGCTGATCCAGCACTTTAACAGGATGTTGGTTGCAACAGTTCTCGTGAAGACACTTGAACTGCTGCAACGGTAATTTGTCAGATACATGTTGCTAGCTTTTAAGAAACCCATCGTATACATTTAGGTTTACTGAAGCTCGAATAATAAATAGATATTCAGTTCAGTTTGGAACACTCAAAGAAAACGTTGCAGTGTTTATTGAATTATTTAATTTACATCAAATCAACATATATATATATACATATATCACCTGATCGCCTTGACGATACTGGTAACTCGCTCATAGCAAAGCTATATCTGCTTTTGAACATCTTAAATCACATTTAATTGCCAAAATTAAACTAACCCGAACAGATTATACAAAAAGATTCGTTCTCACTATAGACGCTCACGTCATCGCCATAGGCGGCGCCCTTTCACCGGAAAACAAACCAATCAGCTTTGTTTCAAAACCCCTAAATAAAACAGAAATTACGCCTTAAATTAAAGGGAACTATACGCCATATCTTGGGTGTTAAAAAACATTAGAAGTATCCTATATGGCGTTTCCGCAAGAAATCCTAACTCAAAAATAAAAAGATAGCATGCTTTCATAGAGGAATTTTCCCCTAAAATATATTACAAACGAGGATCAACCAACGTCGTCGCCGACTCCTTATCAAGGGTACTGATTAATCACATTCTAATGAAGATAATCACGGTTCTAAAAAAGAAAATTTGTTCGATAATGAAACTATTCATTCAGCCTACAGTAGCTATAAAAACGTACTTGAAGAAACTAAGAAATCATTGAACCAATTTAAACAACAATTACTTATTTTCAAAAACAAAATCATAGCTCACAACTTAATAACCATACTTAAAAAATATTTTATACCAAACCTAACTACAGGAATAGCCAGTTCTGCTCTTTAATTCAAAAAAACGCTTCACTAAACATTTAAGGTTTGGAGTTTTTAATGATTTAGTTGTGCGTTGGTCACCGTTCCGTCGGTCTGGACAAACTCTGTTAGGTATACAATAAATAAATCATAAGCAGATAATTACATGTATTTGAGATTGTGTTGGTTTTTGTTTTATGGTTTCCGGCCGAACATCAAAATAGTGGACGCTCCTAGAAAAAGATATCTGCAAAAAATCGTGGGAAAAGTACAGCGTTCTGCCGAGCTACTAATTTTGGATCTGCAAACCACACGCTATGATGCCCTGAATACCATGCTTCATATCCTTAAGATTGACCTAATGACGGGACGGGGAAACATTTGAATACTCGCAGCTATGATCACTCTAGCATACTTAAGGCAATCCCATCTTTTCCCAGGCTACAGCCTACTCTAGAACATCTTGCCACCCTTTTGAAAACTCGTATTTTCTACGGGGAGGAATAAAATCTTGATTGCTCAGAGTCGGATCTATACGGACAGATCTAAGATAGGCGATCGCGTGGGAGACGTAGAACCATAAAACTTCTTCGGAATGTCTAACCACTATTTTTCAAGCGGAGGTAACTGCAAAACAAGAATCACTGTCCGTTATTACTCAACTTATAGCAAACGCAAAAAGTATCTGCATTTACTCTGACAGCCAAGCAACTATCAAGCATTGTCTTATTCAATATCTGCGACAAATCTCTTCAGGCAATGGCCAAGCTAGTTGCATTTTACGGGTCCAAGGTTAGAGGGATACAGATAGCATTTGCCGACCGGACGAACCTGCAAGGCTGGGATCTACCGATCCCTTCCCAGCAAAATGGAGAAGCTAGGTGTACCAATAGCCAGTTGCTAGTTCCTCATTGAAAAACAATTCGCGTTTACGGCTACTCACAGGAAGCAAGCCTTTGATGCTTGCAAAATCGCCTAATAATAAACCACAAGACTAGAATTCGTTCTCTTGGCACCTATTTCTTTTTGATCTTTCAAATCTCACCAAGTGAAGACCCAATAGGATGTACCTCAGGATGTAGCTAACTGCCCATTGTTCTTTTGTTTTTTCTGGAAATCGAAAGCTGGTAAAAAAAATTGAAAATCTTAGCGTGCAATAATGTAAGGTAACCCTTGAAGCGGTAAAAATAAATAAAGAAATCAATATTTAATAATGTTAATGTACCTAAATTCTATCCTGAATGAGAATTTTTGTTAAAGAGAACAATAATGATTAACCAGTTAAACAATGCAATCCATTTTACAATACAACTACAAAAACAATGTGCAAATTTGTTCTCTTACAAGATTTTTTGAAAATTTTCAATGAATAATACATAAGTAATATACGTTTGCAAATTTAATTAGTGCAGTGAACAATTTTTTTTTAAAACACATAAAACCGATAAGACGGCTTCAGCATTATCTATTCACGAAATATATGGCTATCTATATATTTTTAGTTGGCGTAGAAAACCCCCTTTTTAAACTTTTAACGAGCTCATCAGAAGCCCATAAAATATGAAGAGTACTAAAGTAATTCTCAACCTTGTAGAAATACATTAAAGAATTACTAGTGATCAATTGCTAACCAAAACTGTAATGATACTATTGTAAATAATCTTTAGGATTGGATATTAGGATTGCAATTTCTTACCTACTGTTAAAAATTGAACTAATTTACATCCCATACATAAACTACAGCTGGTTCTACTTCCAGAAAACGATACACTTTGTTCGGTTGTGTAGCATTCCACGAAACTTCTTTATGGAACCAAGGAAAAAAATCAACAACAAAGAAGTCCAGCAATTGCAACAAAACCACACTGCCAACCAAAGAGAAGAAGCATAAAATATACTCGGATCGTCCACGGCCAAGTTTACCAAAGTCCCGCAAACGTAAATTCGCCAAGTGCATTTTAATACCCTCCACACTTTAAAAAGGGTACACCTTTTTGTGTAAATATGTAAAACAAGCAGAAAAAACAATCACCAGCAACATAAAGTATACAAATTATAACTCAGCATCAATAACTGAATCGTTAAAATATGAAAGACATGCAATTTTGAACATAGGTTATCTTAGTCTTTACATTTAACTGGTTCCCATATTAAGCAATCAATAAAAATTAAAATAGAATCGAGCATTGATTCTGTATGTGATCTCAGATAATCTCGTTTCCACGAAATAGAAAAAAAGGACTAAAGTAAAAGCCTTGCTGCATTTCATTAAGATCGGACGATTAACTGCGAGCTTAATTACGAATTACGAATCTCAGCAGCAGCATAATTTTCTCTTCAAGCGGTGTGTGTGCGGACAAGAGCACTTTTTCTTGTTTATCTTACGGCTTGAGGTAGGAAGTTCACTCCAATCCATTTCTGACGTGACTTAATCCAGCTCATTATAAATCAGGCTGACCCTTAGTAAAACCCCATCTCACCTAATCAAAAGTGAGACCTCTCTCTTGAAGCAAAACTGAATGCTGGAGCAACTGTGGATTTAATTTTTTTCGGTCAAGAACTCATTAATAACAAATAACGGCTGCTCTATGAATAAGCCTCTGGAATGCCGATAGCATTTCTCAGCGGAAATATGAACTCTTAAACACACCATAATGATATATTGAAAAAACCCAAATATTACAAGTACGAGTGCCATAGTTATTTTTTTTACTAATAAACTGCTAACAACAAAGTTACTCCCTCTGTCGATTTCGAACTCGCAACCAAATTCTAAGGAGAAAACTACTTGTCATAGCCTTATACCTTGCAGCCATGATAAATTGAGTTGTTATGGAAAATAATGCACTCGCAATTGCAATTCTATTCATAGTGTGTTTTCGCTTGCTGTCAAGTGGTTTGCCAAAACATCTTTTTTAATAACTTATTTGTATTCTTAATGTTTCTTAATTGTTGCTAAATGAAATTTAAAATTTTCGTACATGCGCAAAAGGGCAAGTGCATTCAAATTGTTGCTTAAATTAATTAGTAACTCCAATTAATTTCCTCATGTAAACAGCATTGTAATGGCGATTGTATTGTTTTCTGTGCTGTGGATGTGCTACTATTAAAATTTGTTGTGTTTTAACGAAAAAAATTGTTAGTGTAGCCTTTTTTAAATTAATATTTAAAAAAAAATCAAGAACTTGAAAACCGAACCAAGCATTTATCGCTTTACTTTAATGGGCGACCGCACACAAAAATTGTATTAAAATGCTTTCATATGTATGGCTTTGTCCAGTCAAGCAACATGAGAAGAAATAAATTGATACGATAATGTTGAAACCTACTACGAACAAAATAAATTCTGCTGAGCTATATTTCTGTAAGTGTTAAATTAATTGTAAATTTAAGATTTTATAAATATTAAACTTAGGTTCTGTGCGGAAAAGTAGGAAGCTTACTTTTTTTAGATTTTTCGCACTCTTTTGGACGCCTGCGCCGTGTATGAATAGTATCACGTCTCATAGAATGGGGTCTATTAACGCCATGAAGCTTGAAGTATAACCCACAAGCGTTGCAAACCATTTCTCCTCTTACGCTCCGTCTCCAAATTGTTGTTGTCAGTGTGCCACAATTAGAACAAGACATATCCTTTTGAGAAGTAGATAGAGCAGCAGTGCTGCTACATTTTATGCTCTGGAAAATTTGTTATACCTAAATTGGTATATACTTTAGAATAGATGTATGCAAATACCTTCTTATCTTTAATTCCTTCTGTAATTGGATTGGACATATTTTCTGGATGAAGACGAGTATCGGTGTCTGTAATATCTGGAGATTCCTTGCAATCAGTTTTAGTAGGAAAACTCTGCTTTCTTCTACATATTTTGACAACATTCGGTTGCGATTCAGGCATATCCTATCCAATAAAACGTAACTTAAATCAAAATTTTTTATTCAGGATTTTTTTTACCTTTAAAAGTGGTATGGGTTCTTCAGGTACTTTTGTCAATGCAATGGTTGACGGCACAGGAAATCCGTAAGTGTGACTCATCATATTCCGTAAAAGCTGTGTTGCGCGACTCTCATCTTTATTTTTAGCTAAAACAATAAATTATTAGATTTATATTAGGAAATTTCTTTTTATTTTTGTAATTTTAAATATTTAAGTTTGCTGTAAGAGCAGCAAGTCGATAGGTTAACAAGTAAGAGGTTTTAGTCGGGAGCTCCCGACTAGGCGATACCCTGAACCCTCTTCTTTACAAAAATTTTCCAAAAAACAGGATTTAGATATTGATTTTTACCGATTACTTGGAAACGGGGCAAGTTATCGAATATCGGAAACAAACTCGAATTGCGCAGACACTAGGAGCACCTAAGACCAGGCCTCTAGCTCTTATAGGCTCTGAGATCCTTGCGTTCATACATACGGACAGACGGACGTACGGACGGGCGGACAGACAGACATGGCTAGATCGACTCAGTTATTAATGCTGATCAAGAATATATGTACTTTATGGGGTCGGAGATGCTTCATCCTGCCTGTTACATATATTTACATTTTGCACAAATACAATATACGCTTTTTACCCATTTTAAATGGGTTCAGGGTATAAAAATGAGCTAGATATGGAAGATCTTTCGGATCTTTTTCACATTTATTTCTTAATTTAATCACTTTTACTACTATCCAAACATTACAAGTCAATTTGTGTTGCGAATAAGTAACCGACTATTAGCTCTAAGTGTGAGCTACATTTGATTGTTAGTAGAAGAGGGTTCAGGGTATCCCCTAGTCGGAAACATACATATGGACGGACGGACAGGCAGACGGACATAGCTAGATCAACTCTGTTATTGATGCCGATCAAGAATATATATACTTTATGGGGTCGGACATGCTTCCTTACATACATTTGCACAAATACCCAAAAATGCGTACAATTTGTGGGTATAAAAAGCTAACAAATCTGAAATAATATATTCGTCATATTCGCGAATTATGCAGTTATTTGAAAAGGAAGCAAAGTTAATTCATGTTTTTCCGTCGTTCTCTCCGTCTGTCCGTCTATGTGATCACGTAGATCTTGAAACCAAAAAAAGCTATACATTTGAATCGAAGTTATTATATAGGCAGAAAGAGTTTTTTTTATCACAACTCAAAAGATTCGATACATAAATATTGGTGTGTTTATGTATAGCATGCACGGATTACGAATATTTTAACTTATTGGATGTTACCTCCTCCACTTCCCTCAATATTAAATCTAGGAATTTTTAAAACTAGTCATTCGCTGTAAAACTATTTAATTTCCTAAACATAGCATATACAATGTTTTATTTAAATTTAAACGTAAACTAAGAATTTATATATGTTGTAACGGGCTGGTATTGGGCGAATCATTTGCTAATCAGCTGTTAATAATCTTAGCTATTTACTCATCACTGAATGTTCTCAAGGCCTAATGGTGAAATAAAGAAAGATAATTGCATAAAAAAGGTTATTACTATCTCAGAAATGGTAAATAACCTGGCAATGGGAGATATAAACATAAAGTATCTGTCAGTGACCGCATCAATAAATGACAGTTTTAGGTCTCTCTACAGCAGGCTCCAGATCCAATTAAGTGGTGCTTCTAAATGCAGTAAATGAACGAAACTCACAATAAGAGGGAACCGACCGAAAGTTAGGCATCGCAAAGATATATTATGCAGATGCAGGGGAAAGAAATTCTTTAACGAATTTGTAAAAAAAAACATGAGCCACTTGCAAGGCGTCAGTGATAATCAACAGATGGAAACGAGTAAGAGGTTCTAGTCGGGAGCTCCCGACTAGGGGATACTAAGAACCATCTTCTTCCAACATCAAATGCATATATATATTCTATTTTAGAAGCTATATGTAAAGTTTGGCGACTCAAGCTCTTATTATTTACCAAAATTGCCCAAAAAGCAGGATATCGATATCGATTTTTATCGGAAACAAACTCGATCTGCGCAGGCACTAGGAGCACCAACATCTAAAATTTCAAGTCTCTAGCTCTTATAGGTGCTGAGATCGTTGCGTTCATACATACGGACAGACGGGCAGAGAGACAGACGGAAATTGCTTGATCTACTCGGCTATTGGTGCTGGTTAAGAATATATATACTCTATGGGGTCGGAGATGCTTCCTTCTGCCTGTTACATACAATTGGATTTTGCACGTCATTTGGGTGATTTAACGCAATTTGAGACGAAGTCCAAAAATACACTTCGAAAACATAGTAGATGTGCTTTGTGGTCTTAAGACACACGGATGCGGAATAAAGAAGTGTGGATTATTTGGAATCTGATTATCTATTTCAGACATGTGACCTAGCGTTAAGTATTCATCCATGGATTCCAAGTACATACGCCTTATCTCGAAATAGACGCCTTTCTTACCAAGCTGAGTGGGATCTGATTTAAATAAGATCTTACTGGTCGATTTGTAAATCGACCTGACAGAAATATTTCTAAAGTGTCCAGAAAGTGAATCTCACATAATTACTGTTTAACTGTTCGAACATTTTTCGCTAACATATACACGGCTTGCCCTGCAAAGTTTTGTGTTTAAAATTTTAAATATTCATTTTTGGCCAGTTTCCGTCCATTCACAATTTAATTTTTCCGCTAATAACTTAACTCCACGTTTATTTGAAAATATATTTCACGTTCATCAAATATAGAACCCAACGTTGAAATAAACACATTACGTCGATGTTATTCTTGTGTATCTTAAACCGAAAAAAGAATTGTCGTTCATTAGACCCAATGACCCTTACTTAAGTTACAAGAGCAGTGGACATCGCAAAGAGCTTATTTAAAAAATTTTAACAAAATCTCTGAAAATAAATTCAAAGCCGATTAGATGTTAAACAGAAAAGTCGCATGCAATAATTTTCAGCTAAATTTCTACAGTTGTCGGTAGATTTTCTAAAATCGCTGAAATACGTTTTCATTTAGTTTTTTTTTTAGTTTTTATAAATTTTTAAGCGCATTAATTACCAACGAAACAAATCTATAATCAATTTTAACAAAGTTCTTTGAAAATGATTTTGAAGACGAAGATGAAATTTCTAAAATCGCTGAAACACATTAACTTCTTATGAAGGGTTTTGAAAGACGGTCGGGCTTTGGGCTTCCTCCACTTAATCTATGAACCGCATATTTCATCGAAGAGGCCTGCATTTTGCAAAAAATCTCAAACTAAAATCAAAAAATTCAATTAATGCTTCAAGATAATGATTTTCTGATAAGGGTTACAGGCCACTTAATGGCAAGCTACACGCGGCGTGTACCCCGTTTCCAGTTCGGAAATTAGCATAGTTTATGGAAACTGCATCTATAACAATTGAAGGTTTAGGTGCTCCGCAGATGCTTGGTGAGCTGCTGAAGGAGATACTTTGTGCGAAACGCGAGGGAATATCGCTCTGGATAAATAACCAACTCGCCATTCCCACACTACAGCCCGGATGGAAAAAAGGGTCCGGGAGAACGACAACAGCGACCAAATAGTAGAGGCACCGCCTGGAGCTAGAGTATCCAAAGCGTGATTCAAGGCATCTGCCTCTCAAAACTCTGTCTCAAAAAAGCAGACTAAACTCACAGCAAAAGGGGCCAAACTATATGTTTTCTAGCATACAAATCCGAAGAGTAGATTGATTTTGTTCATTAATATTCAGCTTGAATTTTATTTTTATTTTTATTATGTGTTCTTCGGAACAACCAATGACTCCTAAGTCATTCTTTTATGGAAAAGCTTGAGACTATTCAAAACCTGAAAATGAAATTGTTGGTAATCGCGCAAAACCCTGCATCCATTGCATGATGAAAAATACGTAATATTTCGAGAATCCCCATCAACGCATCAATAGCCCAGTCGATCTAGCCATGTCCGTCTGTCTGTCTGTCTGTCAGTCTGCCTGTCCGTCCGTCCGTCTGTCCGTATGTATGAACGCAAGGATAACCTATAAAAGCTGGAGACTTGAAATTTTAGCTGTAGGTCTTCCAAGTGCCGACAATCGATAACTTATTACATTTTCAAGCAATCGATAAAAGTCGATATCGACATCCTGTTTTTAGATCAAATTGGATAAATAATAAGAGGTAGAGACACCAAACACGATATGTTTCTTCTAGAATATTATATATATGTATCAAGTATCCTTCATTTATAGAGAGCTATAAATTAAGTTAATAGCCCAACTTGTATTACCAACCAAATTCAGCAACAATTTCAATGCAATTGACTTTATACAATTTACTTTTTGAGAATACACAAATATTCTATGGTACAATAAGATATACTGTAGAAAATTTCAATCGGTTAAGAAACACGTGTTTAAGGCACCAGCGCAAATTCGAAAAATATCTGTTTGCATGCACACACACACATTCATGCTCGTCTGATTCGTATTCATCAACAGCATTATAGTTGCGATTGTATTGTTCTCTGTGCTAATATTTTAATTGGTTTTTTCTCACGAAGACTCAATTATTGGTGTGGCTGTTGAGTAGAGGCGGTGGCAATTGGTGGTGTTGTCTGTCGCGAGTTCGAGACCTACCGGGGAAACTATTTATTTAATTTTTTTGTGGCTGGTGTGGCTGTTGAGTAGAGACGGCGGTAGTGCGGTTAGTTGCGAGTTCGAACCCTGCCAAAGGAACTTTTTTTAAGTTATCTTTATTACTACAAACGAGCGCGTAGCGCGTGCTGCATTTGGTGTTGGAAGAAGACGGTTTAGGGTATTCCCTAGTCGAACCTAGAACCTCTTGCTTGTTTTCTATTTGGATCTTTAAAGTTTGTACAATTTTCTATAGAATTGTTTAAGTATATAATCAATTCTTAACATGTATTAAAGTATTTGTACTGAAACATTGCATTTATTGATTTCGTTGCATATGCTCGTAACATTTTCGCTTCTTGCACGCATGACTGGGTCCACCAAAGGTTCATGTGCACATAATATATATTTAATTTGTTTTTGCGTCGTGGCAAATTGCATTATGATGCATATCTGCCAAAATAATTTTGAAGTAATTTCAGGTACTACTCCTGTTATGGTCTTCATGTAATTTTAAAACTTGCCAATTGTATAGACAAATGAATCAATTTATTTAAGAAATATTAATTGGCTTAGCCTAACTTAGGGCTTTGTAATGAAGCATACTTATGCATATGTCAATGCGCGAAGAGGCTGGCCTGCTATGAACATTAATGCAAAGGGGCTCTCACTCACACTGCCAAATGTGGCTAGTGGCTGAGTTGCATGCGCGGCCATGGAGTGTGCGATTCTATGTCAAACGCCAATATATATGTGTCGTATATAAAACAAATTATTATGACTATTATTTTTGAATATTATTGATTAAGTCTTAGTAATAAACATAGACTTTGACAGAAGGTACTGTTATTCAATATTTCTATCCCATTTGTATTAGGGTTGCTACTGAAAGCATGGTGTGAGACAAAGAAGTTAATTTCCGAGCATGGCCCGATTGTGTTGTGTAGCGTTCAGTTTGATATTAGGTTTTAAGTGCTCACTAACAGTACTTAAAGTCAGAGAAGAATGTAAAATAACAAGAGAACGTGAAAATCTCCTCATTGAATAGTCGTGCTCTCCAAAATATTTTTTTTTGTGACTACTACAACGACACTCAGGACTTGCTGTGCTGACAGTACGCCTAATTGTAAAAGCAGCGATTTCTCTGATCCGACATATGAATATATATTTAAGCGTATAAAAATGAGCATATGCATGATTATATTACAGTAAACAGTAGAGCATGAACTAAAATGAAATAAAATAGTGCCCAATATGAATATCCAAATACTTATGCAGGTACTTAGTGATGCATTTATTCAATCAGACCGCTTAATAGCCGACTTAAATCCACCAGCAGCTTAAAGGAGTACATAGCTATACTAACATTCCAGGTCATCCAATATATACCTGTTACACAAAAAAAAACATATCTTTGACGAAGCTTCTCAGAGCAGGGCTCTACATTGTGTGACCTGTACACCAATGACAAGCCCATGATACTGACATATCCATCAAGTACCTCCTTTCATTTTTGCAGACGACACGGCTGTTGAAAACAGGAATATATGTGAACGAGCCAATGCAAAGAATACCCAAAAAGGTTTAAAAATTTCCATATTCGGACTGGAACAAAGGCTGAAATTAAGCTAAAGTGTCTCTTAAGCCATGATATCGGAATTGCTGACAAGACGCTAAGACCATAAGATGAGTGACGGGTGCATAATGAGGAACGCGTGAGGTCCCTAAAGACATTAGTGTTCCACAATCTTAAATAAACTTGCCCCTCCGCAAGATACAAGAAGTTAGGGTTCTGTCTTGTACAGAATATAGTTAGAATTTCTTGAAAGAAATATATAAATAAAAGTTTTCGTGTTCTTAGATCTCAACCTTCATTTGTTAGTTAATAATTGTCTTAATTATTTTTTATTGAAACTTACCAGCCGAGCGAGCTAATGCTTGCCACAGTTGAGTAGTAACAGCATCTGTCGCATGGTCAGAACTTACGCTCTCTGGAGTCTTTCTGTCATACATAGCAGATGCGATATCCATTTCTAATTTATTTGAATCAGAGCTGTCCTCAGAAACCGATAAACCAGAAGCAATACTTTCGGTATGCAGATTTTTGGTGTTCAGTTGGTAGCTAGAAGGGCCAACTTCATTTAGAGTAATACTATACTTCCTTAAGTTTCCATCATTCCTCATATGACTTGCATCGACATCAAGTATTTGAGATTGGGAAAGGTTACTTGTTGTTGGAACTATATTCATTTGACTGCAGTGTTCCCTTTTCACTTTTTTGACGGATAAGTCTATTTCAATGCCCTCTTGCACATCATTATTAATAGATGGACGTTTTGATTTTATCACAGAACTTTTAATACTTGTATCTACAAATGCAGAAACGCAAGGAGATTGAGGATTCGAGCATGGAGGCGATATGACAATTTTTTTACTTATATCCATAAGTACTGCTGCAGTCTCTAATTGCTGTTGCAAATTCTTGTATTGTTCAACATCTGAAACTTTACTATGTAGTTCCACACCATTATCTAATTCGAAAGATACATCCGCCGTTTTGGGTTTATCTGCCGCAGCTACATTGTGTTGAATTAGAATTGATTCTCGTTCAATTGTGTTTACTGGCTGTTGTGGACTTTCCAACAAGTTTGAATATATTAAAGGCGTTTGAATATCATTAATTTTATTTTCGTTCTGGCGTCCTTTTTCCTTTGAAGACTTCAGACTGTTATCATATGTTAGTTGCCGTTGGCTGTATCTACTTTTTGAAGATTTGCTCAGCTCAGTCAGTGCCTTCGCAGCAATTGCTTCAGATGAAGATTTTAAAATTGCATCCAATTTTGTTTCCAAATTGTTTGGATTCTAGAAAAAATAAAGTATTAAATGATCAATGATAAAAACTTAAATGCAAATAAGGAAGCAACATTTTCATGTACCGTACATCGAATCAATTTTTTTACCGTAATTCTAATCAAATTAGTATTTTACCAACGTCATGTTGTTTTTATTAGAGCGAGGATATTTATATGTAGGTACATATATATATATATGTGTATTTACATTAAGCAATATTTTTACACTTTGCGCCCAATGAAAATGGAAACAAGTAAGAGGTTCTAGTCGGGAGCTCCCGACTAGGAGATACCCTGAACACTCTTCTTCCAACATCAAATGCATATATATAGTCTATTTTAGAAGCTATATGTCAAGTTTGGTGACTCTAGCTCTTATTATTTACCAAAATTGCCCAAAAAAACAGGATATCGATATCGGTTTTTATCGATTGCTTGGAAGCGGAGTAAGTTATCGATTATCGGAAACAAACTCGATCTGCGCGGGAGCTAGGAGCACCTACATCGGGTCTCTAGGTCTTATAGGTTCTAAGATCCTTGCGTCCATACATACGGACAGACGGACGGACGGACAGACTGACGGGCATGGCTAGATCGACTCGGCTATTGATGCTGATCAAGAATATATATACTCTATGGGGTCGGAGATGCTTCCTTCTGCCTGTTACATACATTTGTCTTTCGCACAAAATCAATATACCCTTATATCCATTTTTAATGGGTTCAGGGTATTAAAATAGTATGATGATGTGTCAATACAGATTTCAGGCAGAGGAAACATCGCCGCTCAGCATTAATTGCCAATTCAGTCTACTCATGTCCGTTTGTATGTCTACCCATCTGCAGGTATGTATAACGCGTCGATCACGGATATGATACAATAAAATAATATAAACATGCTCCACAATTTACCAAAAACCAAATAGCAGTTTTAATATAAAGAAAAAATTGATTTGCCTGTTTTCTTGTGATTGTAGTTCCCTTCACAAAAAATGTGAGTTCAGAATTTGAACAGTCAGATTACACTTTAATTGCCAATAAAATCCCACACACGTTATAAAAGTAAGTTCTGAAAGTACAACCCAAGCAAGCTGACGTGATAATGCAGAAGAGAGCCCCTGTTACAATAACTAAATAAACAATACCTCGCACATGTTTGTGTAGGTTTAGTGAATATAATTCATTATTGAAATAACTCAACAGCAGTTCGTGATGAACAATAGAGCTAACACTGCTGAGGGAACCTCACAGAAGCCAAGCTTACAATGTTTGCTTCTTCACCAAACTTGTTTTCCGTTCGGTTCGACTAACTTATCGGAAACTTTATTTAGGTCGATCAATTTCGGCAAAAATTTTATGAGTTGGTCCCCAAGCACCATATAAGTATTGTGTACTTAAGCGGCCCTAGCCGCTTCTGATTAAAAATATTCATACATTCATACAAAAGGAATGTGGGCCAAGGAGTTGGCTGATTATGTATTGTCATCGTATAACACGGTCCTGGAATTTAACCCAATAATCAATTCGCCAGATTATATCTACTATGCGAAGAAGCGACCTCACCCGAAGCAGCACTCTAGCCCCAGACAGCATATTAATTTTTGAGTGGTATAGTCAGGATGTAGTTGTCGTGATCATAATTAAATTTTGCGGCCATACAAAAATCTTCTCTATCATGAATTATTTCCATACATAATTATATCTTTTTGGATTGACGACTCTAATGTTTTCATTACATCCGAGTGTCCAAATCCAACTATTAAACATTATTCCGGAACTTTTACGTTTACCCTATTCGATAAAAATTATTTAGTTTTGTTAATCCAGTTTAAAATTTAACAAGTGCCAATCAAAACTCAGTGTCCTATAATGCGCTTAGCATCAGTTAGTTGTCGCCTGTTGTTCAATAAACAGCCTTAGGTGATCTACTGGACGCCTCCCGCGATCTGAATTTCTTCGTGGAAGGCCAAACGTGCGCCTTTTGAGCCACCGGATAGGTGTACCCGTACCCAGGGGTCTGGCCAAGCGATTGCTGTGAACCAACAGTCGATCGTTGTATGGGCTTCAGTGGAAGGCGATCTAGTCCTTGGATGACTTTCACTTTCTTACGTTGAGACTGGGCAGAAATTCCCCAGATCAAAGCTAGCTCTTTTTGGTCAGTAGCCAATATAAGCTGGCGAATTTTGGTTCGGCAGCTATTAAACACTGACGAGATGTGAAGTCTAAAAGTTAGTCACTGGTCGAAGAGCAATCCTAACATTGATATTTAACTCTGATCATCGTTTTGGATCAGTGCCCAACTCGTCCGCGTCACGGACCGGTATGAATGCTTTAAATAGTGAGAATAGGATAGGAAAACGCTACCTTGGGGTACTCCTGCCATAACACGATAGATGGTTGTTAATCCCGTTCTCGCTTTGAAACTGAATAAAATACCCTCCAGGAAGGATTTCATGAGTTCGAAGTAAGATGAGGATAGACAAGATTTTAGCTAGGCCCCAGTTGTCATACCCGGCCAAAGGTCTCATTACAGTACTTTTTTAAATCAAACGGCTGAAGGATTTGTTTTATATCCGGTGTAGTTGTTCGGTAGAGCTGTGGTCCGTGCGGGATCCAAGTTATTGCAGGAATGAGTCCATGGGATTCCACGACAATCATCATCCTGGGTGCGACCGGTCGCCCCAAGCCTTCGAGATCGAAGACTGGAGATTTGTCGGCCGATATGACGAAGGTTCACTATCGGGCATTCCAGGCTTGGAGATGATCGACACGGTGGCAAACTTCCACAAAGACGGAAAGTATTGCACTCTTAAAATCGCGTTGAGACCATCACGAGAAAGAGCAGCGCATTCTCAGCAAGAGCCTTCAATGTTCTGTTGCGGACCAAGTCGTTTCCGAGGGCTTCTTAGGAATTAACCTTCTTTAATATACAAGATATTTTCGACGAGGTAAATGGTGAGATGGGAGGTCCAACTGAAGTGGAGTGGAAAGCATATTCCTAATGTCTCTAACATAGTTTGGTGAGGCCATTTCATGAGGCTTGAAGCAGTCGGCGAGGTGAACAGCAAAGGTGTAAGCATGTTTCTCATCTGGCGTCTTTCAGTAGGGCCTGCCGGATCGGCTGGCGTTTAGCACTTCGGGCTGCTTTCTGCAGCGAGGAACGGGCATTATTGCTGGACTCCATGCTGACGAGCCTATTGTCAAATTAGGCAGCACGGTGTGAGCGTAACGCCTCCTTAATGGTCCACCTTGTGCCTGTTGGTCTTGTCGACTACATGTTGAGAGCGAATGAAAACTTTTCGGTGCTTGCGTTTCTTCGACAGGAAGCGGCGTAGTTCAGGGGAAGGCCTGGACACGGTGTGCCGAGCTTACAGAGCGGTTTGGCGAATTTTGCTTGTGAATATTTCCAAGGCATCGTCTATATCTGTACGAGAACTCAGCTCCATGCCGGGGTAAATCGAGTAATTCAAGCATCGCTCAAACTCTTTTAGATTTGTTTTGCTATTAATGAGGCTCTCTTCAGGAGAAATTTATTTTGCAGCGGAGTTGAGTGTAATAATTTATGGGAGATGATCCAATGAGCTTCCATTAAGAGATGTTTATGTATACAGCGAAGTCCGGATAGCTTGGGTTGCTATAAGCCCTGCATGGGTGTCTTGTTTGACAGCCAGTCGCTAGCACGTGCAAATTTGAGGATAGGACAAACGTCGCACCGCTGGCCTCACCAAAGCCTACTCTTGGCGTTCCAATCTTGGCCGACAAGGAACAAACGGTATAGATGTATTAACAGGTCTGAAAAGTCACCAGTCAGCCAAGTGTTGGGTTGGAGGACAGTAAATAGAGCACGCTTCGATATTGCAGAGGCCCGTTATGACTATAGCTGAGGCCATTTTAAACTCATTGGTGTAAACAGGATAGGAAACTGCTGTGTGTTGTTTTTAATGAGGATGTCAGCACCACATTTGTCATGAGTGGCGGTTGGATGATTGGCAGGGTAGGAGCAATATCCGTGAAGTTTAAGAGCCGAGTTCCATGAAGTCGGGTTTCGCTGAGAAGTATTATGTCAATTCCGTTCCTTTGCGCTAAAAATTCCACTTCGCTAATTTTGGTGTAGACACCATTGCCGTTCCAAGCCATTATCTTTAGAGAGTTTATTGTTGATTACGCGCGTTGAGTAAGTCCCAGATTTGGGTTTGCATGCTTAGCATTTGTTTTTGCATTACATTCCATAGAGTAATAAATAAAACTCTTTCGGGATAGTCTGTAATGGAGTAGACTGATCGTTGAGCTGCTGACGTCGATAAGCATCATGTGCTTGTGGTCGTTTCTGTACCTGTTGCCTACCCTGCAAATAGTGCTGCGTCTTGGGTTAGCTTTAATAGCCTCCAGTGGCATGTGTATTTAAAAAGCTGTCTCTAATGGTAGGTTTAGGCGACGTTTGGGAGTCGACCATGTAACGTTTTTGAGAGGCGATCGTCTTTGGTTGATTTGCAGAGTTTTGCTTCTTAATCCTGCTGTTAGTTCTCTTCATAAGATTTAAGATTTTATTTCTTTTTAAAAAAGGAATTACTGTTCTCGAGCCGGCTAGCTTAATATTAGAATTGATACTAAACAGGTTAATAAAACAAATAGTAATATTCCAAACGAAAGACACGCAATTATTTTGTCAAAATTATCACTTTTGTGAAATCAATAAATTCCTTGGATGTTCTAAACTCATATAAATGGCTTCATCTAGAAGTTAATGAAACACCACGTTGTCGCGATTTTGTAATGTTCTAATTGTAACAAGTAAGTGGTTCTAGTCGGGAGCTCCCGACCTGAACTCAATCTCTTATTCCAACACCAAATGCAGTTCGCAGATAAATTAAAAAAAAAAAATTCCCTTGGCATGGTTCTAACACGCAATTGACCGCACCACTCACCAATGCCTCTACTCAACAGCCTCTGCTCAACAGCCACACCGAATTAAAGTAGCAGCATAGAAAACAATCGAAATTGCAATTCCGT